GAAGTATTTAATTTCCTAAATCAAGTAGGCAATTCATTCTAACAGACCCATGCAATGTACCACATAGCTGTTGTTGCGTGATTCATCCAAGGTCACCCAGTAATTTCCATCACTGAATGGGGAGTCAAACTCTGGTCTCCTTCAGGAATCCCAATCCAGCATTCACACTGTTTTGCCACACTGGCTCCAACAAATACCATAGACTGTCTAAAAGATCAGCAAATGTGTCCTAGAACAAATGAGGCCTGGACTCTCAGAAGTGAAAATACTAAACTGAGGATCTTATACTTTTGACAAACATGATAAACAATGGGAAAAGTTGATAATACATTGGCCATTATATATTTTGGTGCCTCAAATGTTATCCCTGTTTTTAGCTGTCTTAGACCTGCTGATGTCAAAAATAACACCAATTTTCCCCTATGCTAGTTTTTGAGTTATAGAACATATGCCATCTTCCAGTTTTTATCTGCTCACCCATAGAAAACAATGATAAAAATACCTAAGAAACTTGAGTTGATGTGGTCTATCCAATGCAGTTTTCTGAATCAGTGTGTCCCAAATAACTCCAGTAATCAATCTAAAAACTAAGACACCAAGAATGCTTTTATTGGACTGTGTAATGCTTGTTGAAGTTGAAGGCAGCAGGAAAAGAGGGAGATTATACTAAACTATTGGTGGATTGATTAGATCTACAAATCCATTGTTCTTAGGACCCCTTCCACACAGCCATATAACCCAGAATATCAAGGCAGAAAATCCCACAATATCTGCTTTGAACTGGGTTATCTGAGTCCACACTGCCATATATTCCAGTTCAAAACAGATAATGTGGGATTTCCTGCTTTGATATTCTGGGTTATATGGCTGTGTGGAAGGGTCCTGAGTTTACAGGATCTCATGATGGCCTGGGCCCTTGGAGGTCTGTCACTGGACACCAAATAACAAGTTACCAATCGCTTCTAAAATTAAAGATTGTGAAAACTTTAAAAAAATGCTTTTGAAAAAGGAATTTGGCATTCTAAACCCAAAATTAATCTCTGATTTGCTCCATGACATACATGTTTTTTGGCAAGTTCCTTTGACATATTTAATTTTGTAATATGTGACTGAGCACAATATTCTTTAGTGAGTAAAGAGTAAACAGTTAGAAAGGGATCAAAGTCTTCTAATATATTTTTGAAGCAGGTTAATTTGCTGATGCAAAATACAAAAATCCACCCAAAAGCATTAAAAAAAGAAACATCAGGGTTCACACTTTAGTAAAACCAAATAACAATTGAATTGACTTTTAAAAAATATTGAATTTGTGAAAGAACTATGTGTGGTTAAAAAAGTATTACATTTTTCAGATTGAACATTCCAAAATATATTTAAAATCTCAACAATGCTTTAAAACTTACAACAACCCAGTGATTCCTGCCATGAAAGCCTTCGACAATGCTTTAAAAGGAATTTTCATCACAAGCCTGTGCTATTGATCAAGAGCTAAACTGAACGTAGCTTCAACGGGCAAAGATCACTAGGAAAGAAGCACATATCCATACAGGTCAAACCCACATCTCACTTTTATCCTTTATCTATATTTTTAATAGACTGTCTAGGATACAGGAACACTATTACAAGCAGTCCCAAGTTACAAACAAGATAGGTTCTGTAGGTTTGTTCTTAAGTTGAATTTGTTTTTAAGTTGGAGCAGGTGCATTTTAATATTAGCTTTGGATAGCACAAGGAAAGGTTAACACAACTGTGGTGTTTGTTTTGCTATCTGTGCCCCTATTCAAAACATATCACCTCACCTTCTGTCCTTGTGATTATTGGATTTTGAAAAATTGGCTTTTTATGGAAACAAGGATGACAAGCATGAGCAGAGACATCTTTTCCCGATGATAACTCTTCCAGGAGTGGATTTCCCTTCCAAGGGGTAGATTTCTCTCACTTCCTGTTGTCTGAGGTCCCTTCCACACAGCCCTATGTCCCAGAATATCAAGGCAGAAAATCCCACATTATCTGAGTGTAGACTCAGATAACCCAGTTCAAAGCAGATACTGTGGGATTTTCTACCTTGATATTCTGGGATATAGGGCTGTATGGAAGGGCCCTCAGCCCTGTTCTTAACTATGAGTCTTTTGGAAGTTGGATGTTTGTACCTTGGGAACTGCCTATATATGATTAGGTTATCCCCATTGCCAGAAAAAGTGGATTACAAACTAAACCCTACTACAATAACTCAAACAAACAAAAGAAAAGAATACAAAATAACTGGTGTTTTGGCAAAAATCTTTGAAATGATTACCAGGAGCAAGGTCATCACAGATCAAAACAAGTCACGGGTAGATTTCTCTCACTTCCTGTTGTCTCAGCCCTCTTCTTAACTATGAGTTGATGTTTGTACCTTGATTACTGCCTATATATTATTAGGTTATCTCCATTTCCAGAATAAGTGCATTACAAACTAAAGTCCTACTACTGTAACTCAACCAAACAAAAGAAAAGAATACAAAATAACAGGTGTTCTGGCAAAAATCCTTAAATTGATTACAGATCAAAACAAGTCAGCCTGCATTTGAGTTACAAGGATATACAAGATGTTCTAGTTCCTTTGAAAGCAAAGGGTGGTGTCTCAGCTTAATCGCTGGACTACAGCTCTGGCAAGACCGGGGCTTTAATCCTTTGCTCAGCCAAGGAAACCTATTTATTTATTTGTGTACTTCACTTGTATACCACTTTTCTCACCCCAGCGGGGGACTCAAAGCAGTTTCCAACATAATTATGACAAAATTTAATGCCTCACATACAGAAAACTATCATAACGATAATAACATAATTATAAATTAAATCATTAAACATGACATCATTTAACATTAAAATGTGGAATGAAAAACATATCAATATAAACAATTAAAATCATGCAATCCAACAATCATAGTCCAGGCCATTCCAAATATCATATCTATTGCATATAATCCCTGATCATACTTGTATTGCTTAAGGCTTGGTCCCTTCGCCAAGTTTTTACTTTTTTCTGAAGGCCAGGAGGGAGGGTGCGGAAATTATTTCATGGGGGAGGGAGTTCCAGAATCGAGGAGCCACCACTGAAAAGGTCCTGTCTTTCGTCCCCACCAATTGCTCTTGCAAAAGAGGTGGGATTGAGAGCAGGGCCTCCCCAGATGATCTTAATCCCCAAAATGGTTCTTAGAGCGAGATATGTTCAGACTTAGGCCCCTTCCACACTGCCCCTATATCCCAGGATCTGATACCAGATTATCTGGCAGTGGTGACTCATATAATCCAGTTTAAAGCAGATAATCTGGGATCAGATCCTGAGATATAGGACAGTGTCGGAGAGGTGAGGTTAATGGGTGAGGTTCAGTAAATCCCACTCTCTCAGCCTCCCCAGAAGATTAAGATAAAACGGCTCTGAACAAATCTTGCCAAGAAAAACCCCCATTAGTGTTACCTTGGGGTCTCCGAAAGTTGGGAACAACCTGGGAGGTACTAGGACCTTTGAGACTGAGGTGCATCTATAGTTTGATACTACTTTAACTGCCATGGGCTCAATGCTACAAAACCCTGGGAGTTATAGTTTGATGAGGCACTAGTACTATGGCAGAGAAGACTGAAGAGCTTTCAAAACCACAACTCCCGGGTTTCCATAGCACTTAGCCATAGCAATAGGGTCAAGCTACATTCATTCGACAGTGTAGATCAGACCCGGGCAAACTTGCACCCTCCAGGTGTTTTGGACCTCAACTCCCACAATTCCCAAACACTTGGAGGGCCCACATTTGCCCAGGTCTGGCATAGATACATCCTAAGAAAGGATAACCTTTGATGTGGGCACCAGCCAAACTTAAGCTAGAAATGTCTTTTGTCCAACCTCAGAGGACCCCCTTATGCCAGAGCTTCTCAACCTTCCTAATGCCACCACCTCTTAATACAGTTCCTCATGTTGTGGTGACCCCCAACCATAAAATGATTTTGTTGCTACTTCACAACTGTAATTTTTCTACTGTTATGAATCATAATGTAAATATCTGATACGCAGGATATATTTTCATTCACTGGACCAAATTTGGCACAAATACCCAATACACCCAAATTTGAATACTGGTGGGGTTGGGGAGGAGGAATTGATTTTGTCATCTAGGAGTTGTAGTTGCTGGGATGTATAGTTCACCTACATTCAAAGAGCATTCTGAATTCCACCAACTATGGAACTGAACCAAACTTGGCACACAGAACTCCCATGACCAACAGAAAATACTGGAAGCGTTTGGTGGGCATTGACCTTGCGTTTTGGAGTTGTAGTTCACATACATCAAGAGAGCACTGTGGACTCAAACAATGATGGATCTGGACCAAGCTTGGCAGGAATACTCAATATGCCCAAATGTGCACACTGCTGGAATTTGGGGAAAATAGACCTCAACATTTTGGGAGTTGTACTTGCTGGGATTTACAGTTCACCTACAATCAAAGAGCAACAACAGAATTGGGCCAAACTTTTCACTCAGAACCCCCGCGACCAACAAAAATTACTGTGTTTTCTGATGATCTTTGGCGACCACTCTGACACCCCCTTCAGGACTGCCTCAGGGGTCCAGACCCCCAGGGTTCAGAAACTCTGCCTTGTGCCTTTCACCACTGAAACATACTATATGTGGAATTCTCTCCTGTTTAGAGTTGGTTCAAAATGTAACACAGGTGGGGTCCTTTTCCTCCACGCCTTGCGTGGCACCCTCCCTCCCTCTTCCCTTCCTGGCCCAGTTCGCTTCCAAGCCTCCCCATGAAGAGGGGGCCCCTTGTTTGACCAAGCAAGGCACTCCAATGATAGAGACAGGCTCGTGTGTCCGAGGACGCCTCCTTGGCTGCTTCGCTTCCCGCATTTCAGCAACAGGTGAGGCCAAAGGCGGCCTCTGGGCACCCTTTGCTTGTCTCGTTTTCACCCACCCACCCGTTTGGGGGAAAAGCGACCTTCCCTTGGGCTGCGAGCTCACCTGAGGCTCCCTTCCTCGGAAAGCACGCGTCTTCCTTCCTTCCTCCTTTCCTCCCTTCCTCTCGGGCTCACTTCCCTCCGGGAGCTCTTTGAATAGCGCCCCTCCCGTCTAGCGCCCTTCCCTGCGGGGAGAGAAAGAGCACCAGGAGGAGGAGGAGGAAGAAGAGCTCCGAGGCTTCAAGAGACGAGACAAGGAGAGGAAGAAGCCGCTGGATCCCTTGCAGCGGCTTTTCTGCAAACCCTCCGCTCCCCGCCCCTCCCTCTTTTCTCACTTCATCACCGCACTGACGCGCACTCTCGCATTCACTCACCTTCAAGGACCCGGGGAAGGGAAGGGAAGGGGCGGGCGGCGAGCCAGGGGAATTTCGCCCAGTCTCTTCCTCATCGCAAGGCCAGCCCAAGGCCAAGCTCACCTGCCAGCAGACACAGGGGGATTTGGTCCGGAATAAGGGTCTCAGTACCCCCGAAAGCACCTGGGCTGCTCTGGTCTTAGAAGTGAAGCTGAGTTCACCCTGCTGAGGAGGAGAGCTGAGACCATTAGGTACCAAAGGTACAAAGGGAATGTTGGAGGACAGGAAAAGAGATTTCAAGATTCAACCTTTGAACTCACTCCCCAGGAAAATCAGGCCCTCACCTTTAGAAAAATAGTTTAAAACGTGGATGTGGAACCAGGCCTTCGGGTAATTAAGCGGACATTAACAACAACAATGTTCATAGAATCATAGAATCAAAGAGTTGGAAGAGACCTCGTGGGTCATCCAGTCCAACCCCCTGCCAAGAAGCAGGAATATTGCATTCAAATCACCCCTGACAGATGGCCATCCAGCCTCTGTTTAAAAGCTTCCAAAGAAGGAGCCTCCACCACACAGAGAGTTCCACCGCTGAACGGCTCTCACAGTCAGGAAGTTCCTCCAAATGTTCAGATGGAATCTCTTTTCTTGTAGTTTGAAGCCATTGTTTCCAAGCCATGTTGACAATGGCTTGGAAATAGATTATTGATAGATTGGACTATTGCAATGCGCTCTATGTGGGGATGCCCTTGAAGACAACCCAGAAGCTCCAACTGGTACAACTGGCGGCAGCCAGGCTCCTTACTGGAGCAAACTATAGGGAGCATACAACTCCCCTTTTAAAACAGCTTTACTGGTTACCGATAAGTTGTGAGCCAAATTCAAGTCTATAAAGCCCTAAACAGTTCAGGCCCCATCTAAATTTGCGATCACATCCCCCTCTATGAACCGGCACAAAGATCTTCCAGGGAGGCCCTCCTTTCGCTCCCACCACCGTCACAAGCATGGCTGGTGGGGACGAGAGAGAGGGCCTTCTCGGTGGTGGCCCCTCGCCTCTGGAACGCTCTTCCTAGAGAAATAAGACAGACCCCACCCCTCCCCTCCTTTCATAAGAGCCTGAAGACCTGGTGGTTTAAACAAACCTTTGAGAATGACTAGTTCTAGCGCTGCCCCCAGATACTGTTGAAATTGGCCATATCTTCTTCTACCAATTACCCAGGTCACTCTCTTCTGTTAGGCCAAAGAAATGTACAGCCATAGACTCTATCTAATTTCCCGGGCCCTTTAAAATTGCAGTAGCCCAGCCCAGCCTTTTAAACTACCTTGATCAGACATGATTATTTTAAATATATGTGCTGTTGTGGATTTAATGCTTATATTGTCTTGTAAATTTTATGTTTATGCCGTTTTTTTCTTGTATGTATTGTTTATGTTTACTTTGAAACCGCTCTGAGTCCCCTTGGGGAGATAGAGCGGTATATAAATAAAGTGTTGTTGTTGTTGTTGTTGTTGTTATTGATAAGTTTGATGGAGCATCCAACCACAGTTTTCGGCTAATAATGGCCACCAGAATGGAAATTCTTAGTAGATTTTAATTGTATTGTTTTAATGTTTTTAATTATTTATAATTATTGACTGTTTTTATTATGTATATATTGAGGCATCAAATTGCTGCCAATTGGAAGCTGCCCTGAGCCCCCCCCCCCCCAGGGGGTTGAGAAGGGCGGGGTACAAATAGTTGAAATAAATAAAATAAAATAAACCTTAAAAACTGTGGTATAGACACCGGGAACTGGGAAGCCCTGGCCCTTGAGCGCTCTAGCTGGAGGTCAGCTGTGACCAGCAGTGCCATAGAATTTGAAGAGGCACAAATGGAGGGCGAAAGAGAGAAACATGCCAAGAGGAAGCCGCGTCAAGCCAACACCGACCAGGACCGCCTTTCACCTGGAAACCGATGTCCTCACTGCGGGAGAGCATGCAGGTCAAGAATAGGGCTCCACAGTCACCTACGGACCCACCACCAGGACACCAAACTTGGAGGACAATCTTACTTGGACAACAAGGGAACGCCTAAGTAAAAGTGACTAAAGGGCTATAATTCAGAAAGACCCCCCATGAAGCCAGAAAGAGCCAGAGTGTTAAATTGCCTCAGTGTCTGTCTATATATGTTGTATGTCTAAATGGCATTGAATGTTTACCATGTATATGTGCATTGTAATTTGCCCTGAGTTCCCTGCAGGGTGAGAAGAGCAGAATATAAATACTGTAAATAAATAAATTGGTCAAAACATCTCTGAAGAGGGAATATCAGATGCTGTAGGCCAGACTTAGAGCCCCTGGTGGTGCAGTGGGTTAAACCGCTGAGCTGCTGAACTTGCTGATCAAAAGATCAGCAGTTCGAATCCAGGGAGGGGCATGAGTGCCCGCTTTTAGCTCTACAGTTTGAAAACATGCAAATGTGAGTAGATCAATAGGTACTTACTTACTTACTTAGGCAATCCCTTGTTGCCTGAGTAAGATTGTCCTTCAAGTGTGGTGTCCTGGCAGTGACTGGAGCCCTATTCTTGACCTGCATGTTCAGAAAGAATGCGGTCCTGGTCGGGGTTGGCTTGATGTGCCTTCCTCTTGGCATGTTTCTCTCTTTCGCCCTCCATTCGTGCCTCTTCAAATTCTACAGCAAGGCTGGTCACAGCTTGCCTCCAGCTGCAGCACTCAAGGACCAGGGCTTCCCAGTTCTCAGTGTTTATGCCACAGTTTTAAAGGTTGGCATTGAGTTCATCTTTAAATCTCTTTTCCTGTCCTCCAAAATTCCATTTTCTGTTGAGTTTGGAGTAGAGCAACTGCTTTGGGAAACGGTGATTGGGCATTCGGATAATGCGGTCAGTCCAGCGGAGTTGATGGCAGAGGACCATCACTTTAATGCTGGTGGTCTTTGCTTCTTTCAGCACGCTGACATTTGTCCACCTGTCTTCCCAAGAGATTTGCAGGATTTTTCGGAGGCAATGTGATGGAATCGTTCCAGCAGTTCCATGTGATGTCTGTAGATAGTCAACGTTTCACAGGCATATAGCAGGGTTGGGAGGACAATGGCTTTATAAACTAGCACCTTGATATCCCTACCGATGTCCTGGTCCTCAAACACTCTGTGCTTCATTCGGAGAAATGCTGAACTCGCAGAGCTCAGGCAGTGTTGTATTTCAGTGTCAATGTTGACTTTTGTGGAGAGGTCACAGGTTTGAATCCAGGGAGCAGCATGAGCACCCGCTGTTAGCTCGAGCTTCTGCCAACCTAGCAGTTTGAAAACATGCAAATGTGAGTAGATCAATAGGTACCGCTCTGGGGGGAAGGTAACGGTGTTCCGTGCAGTCATGCTGGTCACATGACCTTGGAGGTGTTTACGGACAATGCTGACTCTTTGATTTAGAAATTGAGTTGAGTACCAACCTCCAGAGTCGGACACGACTGCACTTAATGTCAGGGGAAAACCTTTACCTTTACTAAGGCCAAGCCTGCACAATCTTTGGCCTTCCAGGTGTTTTGGGCTTCATCTCCCAGAATCCCTGGACATTGGAACGCCTGGCTTTGGAATTTGGAGACCCCAACACCAATAATAATAATAATAGTAATAATAATAATGACTTTATTTTTATACCCCACCTCCATCTCCCCGAAGGGACTCGGGGCGGCTTACAGAGGGACAAGCCCAAGGATTACAAATAAAACAGATACAGTAAAAACAATAACAACAAATAATAAAAACATTAAAATAAATTAACATCATAAAAAAACCCTGGCAGGCCAATTTGAACTGGGTTTGGGCTCAGCGTAAGTGCAATGATTCCTAGGGATTTCCGAAAGAAAGTCACTACTCAGAGGGCTGGGTTGCCAGGGTAATGCCCTTGGCCATTAAAGTGTCATAAGTACAGAAAAGGGGCCAACCTGGAGGGGTAAAGGTTTTTAAGGCTTCTATGCAGGCATTTGGTGAATAAGAAACTATGGAACAAGACTTCAACAGCTTGCATAATGGACTATGAGTTTTGGTAAACGATTTGGACATGAGATCACGACTTGGCATTTTGTATGGGGTTTAAATACAAAATTTGATAGATTGTTATTAGTTTTAATTGCTTATGTGCTTAGATTGTTTATATTTTTATGAGATGTATTTTATTGTTTACCTGCGTGGCATTGGATTTTTGCTGGATTTGTAAGCCACCTTGAGTCCCCTCTTGGGTCAAGAAAGGCAGGGTAGAAATGAACGAAACACACAAATAAATAAATAAGGTTGTGCAGGCCTTCTGTAGGCTATATTTTAAAGTCTGTGGTAGTTGTCAGGGCATCAACCTGGTATTTATTTTTTTATTTGTGTCAGAAGTGAGTTAAAATGCATTTAAAAGCACAAAGAAAGTTTTTAAAAAGAACTTGGCATTATGCTAAATGTCCTTTAACCAGAAGCTGGCCACTTGGAGTGCCTCCGGTGTCTCCTCCATTGTACATGTGGCAGGACTCAGGCTGCCTTGTAGTAGGTGGTCTGTGGTTTGCTCTTCTCCACACTCACATGTCATGGACTCCACTTTGAAGCCCCATTTCTTAAGGTTTGCTTCACATCTTGTGGTGCCAGAGCACAGCCTGTTCAGCACCTTCCAGGTCACCCACTCTTCTGTGTGCCCAGGAGTTTCCCATCTGCTCTCAGGCACTGACTGAGGTGCTGGGTTTTAGTCTGCTACTCTTAGACTCTCGCTTGCTGCGGTGTCCCTGCAAGTATCTCTAGATCAGCGTTTCTTACCTGGGGGTTGGGACCCCTGGGGGGGGGAGGTCACGAGGGGGTGTCAGAGGGTTCTGTGTGGGAAGTTTGGCCCAATTCTATTGTTGGTGGGGTTCAGAATGTTCTTTCATTGTGTGGACAATTTATTTTATTTATTTATTTATTTCATTTACTTATACCCCGCCCTTCTC